ACAGACTTCATGGGGGTGGTTACACCCCTAGTTTGCACCTCAGACTATCCAGGAGCTCAGTGATGCCTGATGTGTTTTTGCAAAGTGTTCTTTAATTTTTTTGAGAAGTACAATTTCCAGTGAGCTAAATGGGCAACTTTTTTTAACTGCAGAAGAAGACCTAAAAATATTCACAACTGAAGTGTTAATTACAAACCAGTTTGCATTTGTCCATTGCTGTTTCACACTTCTTGGTCTAGAGCAAGCCAGGAGTCAATTTACAAACTGCAGAAGTGACAACTTATTATTGTCACCATGAGTTTCTCTGTCTTCCAATAAGAGTTTAAAAGACAGCACTCACATGTCGTAATTATAGGAAAATGACCTCATCATTAAGCGATAACATACTACATGGGGAGAGGAATAAAGAGGCAAGAACTCTTCATAATGTGGCTGAGAAACGTGAGGTTTTTAAAGACATCCTCACCATCAAAGTAATTCAGTAAGTGTCGTCAGTATCATTTGTAGAATTTGTCTCCAGTCAGGACCCATTAGTTTTTCTTAGTATCCTCGTGATAGCAAAACTAGGTATCAGTAAGCAAATGACAAGTCTGTAGCTCAGTCCAACAACAGTTACATACATGGAGAAATTATTTATACATAATATATATTGTAGTGAAGAGCTTTACTTAAAGAAGCAGAAGCAAATGTGTGTTTGTGTGTCAGAGACACAAATAGGAAGGAAAGAAAAGAAATAGAGGGATCCATGTAGGTAATGCACCTCCATTTCTCCCTCAGTCCAGTCTCCAGTCCCTCCATCTTTTGTGATGTTTTTCTTCCCTGCTCCGGCTTCTCGAGCATCTCTCCTGTGCATCTCTCTTTACCCTGTCATCCTGTCACTACTCTGTCTCTCGCTGCTCCACAGCCAGCCGATCCATCGCGCACTCAAGGTTTGTTCCTGTGCTACAGTGTGTGTGCTCAGCTCCGAGCTAAAGTTTCAACTCCGAACTACAAAGGAGATGGCGAGGAGAGAAAACGACAGGTTTCAAGGAGAAAAATATACCTTTTCTTAAGAAAGAAAAAAGAAAAAGGGGGGGAAGAAAGGCAAAGGCAGATACCGGAATCATATTCTCTAAAGCAAACGGTACACAAACACACACTGACACATATATAAATGCACATTCCTGAGGATTGTTTTTTCCTTTGGCAAAAGTTACATTCTTCATCTGCTCTTTTGGAGGCTTCCCAGCTGGGTTTACTTTGTCTCTCTTCCCTCTTTATTTACCCTCTTCTATTGAGACAATTTCTCAGGGGACTCCTCTCTGAACCCTCTGCTACTGTGACCAACACAACTGGAACACCAGACATAGAGACTGAGAAACAATAATGTACACGCACACACAAACACACCGCCAAGATGAATAGAGGGCGTACAGGGCCAGCTCTCATTAGCAAGCAGGACTTCTCTGTGTGCAGCAGTAAAGCAGAGCGTCTTTCAAGAAACATGACAGTGAATGATGTAGAAGGAAAAAAGATCAAATATGCTTTTTTATTTAATTTGTGACAGTGTATCCTATAGGCAGCTTTGTTCCATTATATTCTGTAGTCCAGTTTCATTGCCCATGAGACTGCCACAACATCAATAAACAAACGAGCCAGTTATATGCACTTTTAAACCCTAACGCACTGGAAACAGATTGTAAACCCTCAGTCACTAACTGCTCTGCGCTGCAGCTCCTGACACAAATATACAAGATGAAGGTGAATTGATAGGTTTGTGTGATGGATCAATACGGTCAACACATCCAACGCCTGGGATTTATTTTCTCGCCTGCGTTGCATTGTCAGAACATCTATAATCACGGGCATCAACATGGCCTCATTGACTCAGATCGATCCGCCACATGTAACAGCGCAAGGCTGAGGGAAGAGAATATTAATCCACAGCACAGCTGATTAACTTAGATTTACATTGTCTTTATTGATTGGAACCTATATTTAGTTATTTTAGCCCCCAAAACGTTGATAAATACTAATCCTGGAGATCAATTCAACAATGGCAGCTCGTGTCCAACTATTTAACTGTGGTTCAGAAATGTGAAGACTGAAGAGTGGCTCAAACCAGCTCTTTGGCATTGCAGTCACACCTCTATTGGCTCAATAACCCCTGACCTTTTCTTTTAGCATGCTGATGTTTTTGTGTAAAGTTTCTCTGCACCTATTGGCCGATTTTTCTTTGGTAATCTCATTTGTTTTCTTCATAGAAATAATTTCAGTCAAATTAGGTTCAGAATTTTTAACACTTATTAAGTAATATACCAAAAAATTTTGGGCTTACAACCAAATGTAGCTTTTAAAATTTGATGATTCAAAGTAACTAGATACAGTGCATAAAGTACAAAAAAAAAAGTCATCATGAGACATCTTGTGGAAAATGCTTTGCAGTCTGTGACGCTCTGAGTTCTTCGACTCACGGTTATCAGTGGAGGCTTTGTGTCGTTTCCCTGGTGAGGCTCTCCCGTTCACTTCACACAGCCTTGGCTCTTGTTTGATGTGGCGTCTCTGCCACTGATCTGCAGTCGATGCATTGGGATCAGCTGATTGACTCACCCAATTGACCGTGCTTCACTTCTTCAACATTAAAAGCTCTTTGTTTGCACTGGGTTTACAAGTAAGACAGTAAGGTGGTCGACGAAATGTTGTAAAATAAGTTTTGGATTTTCGACTTACCTACTGTCCTAGTGAAGTTTTTTTCATCCTCTCTCTCTCTCTCTCTCTCTCTCTCTCTCTCCCCCACACACACACACACACACACACACACACACATACACACAACGCTGTTTCCTTCATAGACATTACCTGCTCAAAGGGCGCAATTTTAAGCAATTTAACGCCTTCCTCTACTGCCAACAGACCGGAATTTGTGCTTCATTTGAAACACTCCCCTCATCCCTTGAAGTGTTTGCTGGGATGTGGTTTCACCTTGCCTGCTCAGTGTAGTGATTTCTTCCATTTCCACTGGCTTTGTCCAACCTCTCGTGGAAAAGATTATCCTTGATCGTGCTGTTTACAATAAACACAACTCAGGTTTCAAACTACTGTTTACACTCAAAACCTCAGAAAAAGGCAGCGTCTGAAATGTCTCTCACATAAACATATTTTGTCTGTGAAATATGTAATCAGTTTTTATATGTCTGTGTATGTTAGGTGGGGATGACATTTTATTATGTATACCGTACTAGTACTTGGTTGAACCCTGGTTTGCCCTCAGAACTGCCATAATTTCTTGGTGGCAAAGATTCAAAAAGGTGGTGGAAGCTTTCCTCTGAGGTTTTGGGCCATATCGAAATGACAGCATCATGCAGTTGCTGCAGATTTCTCATCTTCAGCTCTGTGATGTTAATTTCCTGTTCCACCACATCCCAGAGGTGCTGTATTGGATTGGTGACAACTTGGTAGATGCCATTTAAATACAGTGGACTGACTGTCATGTTGAGCAAATCAGTTTGATTTTAGTTTTGTTTTTTTGGTATGAGTATATGAATTGTAGTCTCAGCTTCCTGTTCTAAGATGACACGAGTGGCACCCAGTGTGGTGAGCTACTGCTTCATGGCCTTATGTGTTGTGTCTTCAGAGATGCTCTTCTGCATACCTTGGTGGCATATGAGTTGTTGGTTATAGGAGTTACTGTTCCTATCAGCTCAAAGTAGTTTGGCCATTCTCCTCTGACATTAACGAGGCATTTGCACTCACAGAACTGCCGGTCAATAGATGCCTTGACCATGTTGGCATGGATTTTCTTAATGAACTGAGTAGGTGCCGTGGGATTCACTTGAATTAGATTAACAAGCAGATGAATAGATGCACCCAATGAAATTGCCAGTGTATATATACCAACAGGGTGCAAGAGGTAACTGAATGGTTTGATGAAAATAAAATGAAAGAATTTATTATGGCTTTGCAGTCTCCAGATCTCAAATGGAACACATATGGGAAATAGTTTTTCCTGGTGTAACATCAAATGTGCAAAATCTTTTGGTAGAGCCACAGACATCCCACCTACAGCAGAAGCATCACTGCAACCTTTCTCCAATCCAGCTCTTCCTTACAGCTGTGTCTGACTTAATGTCATATCTGTTGTCATGAATGCCTGCTCTGTTCTCTTCAAAGACAGTATAAAATATGGGCGTAACCACAAAAAAATCCATTGCTGAATTCTTATTATTAAGTCTTGAGCCATCCTGGTGTTTAGATGAAGTGGTGGTCCAACTGCAATATCACATGTTCTTTGGCTACCAACTTGTGATTTATGAGTCATTAGTCAACAAGTACATCCTGGATAATCTTCCGTGAAGAGTGAATGACTAATTTACCAGACTAATTGTTCTGATCAATATACCGAACCCATAAAATAAGTTATGTTCATCTGTTGTACCTTCTGTTGTTCTATGCTTTAAGCTTGCTGTCACTTTAGCTATTACGAGTTCATCATTGTGACGATTTTAGTAAACACATAGTTTATAGTTTGGGCAAGATTAGGTGACCCTGAATCCTGCAATAGGCCAAGGCTGCTGGGGGCTTCCCGTAATGCACTGAGCATGTCGTTTTCATTCACCTTTTGTCACTCTCTCTGTTTATATACCACTCTGCATTTCACATTATGCCTTTTGTACCATCTTCCTCGCCTCACCCCCAGATGGTCACAGCAGATGACCGTCCCCTCTCTGACCCTGGTTCTGCTGGATGTTTCATCTTGTTAAAAAATCGTTTTTCCTTCCCACTGTCACCAAATGTTTTCTCATAGTGGGTTCTCTGATTGTTGGGGCTTTCTCTGTATTATTGTAGGGTCTCTACCGTACATTGCAATGTGCCTTCAGGTGGCCGTTGTTGTGATTTGGCGCTATATAAATGAAGCTAAACTGAATTGAATCTTGCTGCTGCTCACCTCACCTTAGATATTGTGAGCTCACTATATGGATTCCAGTAAAAACAATGAACAAAACAAGTTAAAAAATAGTTAATTCTTTAGTAAAAAATACATTTATAAATTCCGCAGCATGATCTTCATTTCCATCCATGACAATAACAACCAACTGTACAGTAGGCATTTACAATGAAACACATTCTGGGAAGGCAAATACATCAAAATGAGGAAAAAATATGGCAATTTGAAGGAGAAACAGCAAAACCAATAAAAAATAAAGATTTTTAAATGAACACAGATTCAGGAAAAAAACCAAAACAGATCTGACTGTTTAACAGAAACAGAACATCAGAGTTTCAACACCCCAACAGGAGAACTTTGCTTTGGGTTCACCAAAACACCACAAGGTTAACTTCAGTCCTTCTAATACAACTACAGCAGCTCGGTATGAAGACAAACAACACGTGAACAGACTAAGGAGGCAGCACTAACATGCAGCTGTCCTTATGCACTGCTTTCACAGTCAGCTTCACCGCGTGACTTTAAAGGGAAAATGGCAAAACTGGCCCCGAATCAGTGCTTAAGGACAACTTTATCTCACTTTGGGTCAGAAAAACAGTCAACAAACATTTTACACTGAAAAAAAAACAGCTTTTCTTTTGATTTTTCTTATTCATTTAGCAGGATAGATTATAACAGATAAAATCTCTGCTTTTGCTACTGGATGGTACTGACGGACAGGCTGGGAGGTTAGAGGATTGACAGCAGCCCTATTGCACATGGGAGAAAGCTTTTACTGGAAGTTTCTACAATCAGTCCTGTACATCCTTTAAAAAATATATTTCAAAACTTATTTCAAAGCCTCTTAATTTTTCAGGTTGTTATGACTCTGTTAGCTTTTTTATTCTTTTTTTTTTTTTCTTTCAGTCGCATCCTTGGAGATTTGTAGACATATTGAGCTCTGGTTTGGACCAAAGCCAGAGCATATGTGCAGTCTCACACATGAACACACATATTATGTGTTTTATATGTAATATAATGTAATTCAGAAAGCAAAATAGATATTTTGGCAAAGACAGTTTAAAGAGGAGCACCACAGAGATCACGGGAGTTAACTAAAAACTATGTAAAGCACTGCTTTCCAGCATTGGTTACTTTTGTAACCAATACTTTTGTGTGGTTGGCCACACAAAAGTATTCAGTCTACCTTACTGTAGATTTTCCTTCCTTTCACTGGTGTCATCCCCACATACTAAGAATAAATATCAGGAGGAGCCCAATTGTTCCCTGTTAACTGGCTCTGCTGCAGTGACAATACAGTCCAAAAAAAAAAAAAGAGTACCATGTCATCGAGCAGTCAGTTCACCCAGAGCAGACGCGTCCTCTCAGTATTAAATTATTACCCCTAAAGCTGCTGACCAAAATATCACAGTTGTGGTCTTAAGTGATGATTATGGGATGGGATCTGTGCCTTGGGGTAAATTTCACTACACCGCTGATATTAGCTGCCGGTGTATTCTGGGTGCACAGAGAAAACCGCACGCTGGCAGGACTTTTCGGTTGATGCGCAGGATTCTGTGTAGGCAAAGTGCTTAGAGGGAAGAAATGAGGAAAGCCTAAACCTGCAGTGAAGAAAGTTTCCACTGAATGGGTATTTTTGTTTTTTAGCCACATGTGGCAATAGAGACAGAAGAGAATGAAATATTTTTAAAAAGATGGTGTCACAAGTAATGGAAATAACAGTCTTCTCTCATCTCTGAGGACTATGTTCAAGATATATTAAACAATATCATACACACATGCATGCCTCCTCATAAAGAGCATATTGTATATACCCTCGAATGTAGGTGTACAAGTGTACAAACTTCTTCTGCAGTCTTATATTTCCATGAATTGTCTTGATTCGATGCTTATCTCCATATTTTCACTTTCCTTTAATGGGCAGAATAATCTCCTGTACAATACAGAGTTGTCAGCCAATTAAGTGGCTTATTTTATTGTGCTTGGACGTTTCAGAGGTACTGTGCGAGCTTTCACAAATTATTTTCCAAGTGATGCAATAGCTGCTAATACAGGAGGTTTAGCTTTAAAGAACAGTACGCACACGGTCCAGTTCTTAGGTTCAGTGCTGATATTGTACATCGTGTGAACTCTCCAGTAAACTGTGCATTGCTTTGAGACAACACAAAGACTTTTTTTGTTTTTGAAAGTGCTCCTATGTATATTGCGCTAGCCATCTCATTTTGGCCTCTTTACATTTCCTTTCAAACCATTTCTTTTTCTATGCAAGTAGCTCACAAGACGACGTCTGAGTGTGACAGCACCCAGAATCTGTGAGACGTTTCAGGCTAACCCGCTGGTCCTGAAAATACAAGTACAGTCATTTCTTGCCCTTGGGTGGGCACACCAAAGTAAAAATATGACCCTACACATCCATGTTAAGTACAAACACAGCCATAATGAAGTTTGGTATTTTGTGCTTAATTTCTGAGTCTCTAATACAGTCTTGATTGGAAGTGTGACTGAACCAACAGACAAAAAAGGTCAGGAGATGATTCATCTCTGATGATGTTTTACTGCGGATGAAGTTCCAATCAGAGCTCAGCAGCTTGAGATTTCTGTCACCGTCTGCAAACAGAAAGAAGCTTTAGAGGTGGGGAAAAATGATGAATCATGAAATGTTAAGTGCTAATCGTCTTGGACAAGACTTCACCTTTTTTGGGGCTTTTAAGTGAGATAAACACTGTGCTGGCATTAAGGACAAGAGTTACAAGCAGGCGGGAGATTCATCTAAATAATGCAACACAAAGAGCTATTGCCAGTTGGCTCCCACTTCTTTCACAACCCCTCCCCCCAAATACTACATATTTGCAGCAAATGTAGACAAATATAGAGCACCATTTGAAATCATGTAAACAAACCATTTCAGTTTGTCTCGTCCTATCTATTAGATGTGTTTAAATCAGCATAAAAAAAATTATAAATCAATGTTTGAACAGCGAGCATCAGTATATCAGTCTGATTGATCTCAAAAAGCACTTCAGTGCCTGTTGCACACAGCTCCTTTATCAGGCATGAAATGCTTCCCTGCTGAGGGAAACGGAGCACACATGTTGATAAACCTGCGGGACGTGCAAATGTCCGCCACAATTATCTTTATCAAATCACATTCAAATGGTGAACGGACTGCTACAAAATAGCTCCCTCTGCTGTTTGAAGTCATGTTATTGCCGCTCAACTCGTGCGTCGTTATTTTTTTAAGGGCTTACACCCCCTCGCCCTCCCCCCTTCCAACACCTCCTAAATCTAGAAGCCACATATGAGCCTCTATCTCATTAACGGCACATCAGCATTGCATCACAATACTGCCTGCTTACATTTTCCATATATATACACTAAATAAATGTGCAGTAACAATCTCAGCAGCTCCACTAGGAAGCAGATTTTAATTATATGTTTTACAAAGAGATACGAAAAATAGCATTATGTCAGCATAAAGTTCCTATTAAAATTCTAGTAACAATCTCTAGAAACTATTAAATCAGCATCAATGTCAAATTGAATGAAGGGAACTTTTTTCCCCCTCCAGTGTAGACTCTTGCTCCTAGATACGGTCAAGGAAGATGAATAGTAATTGCTGGGCAGTAATATAAGAGTATGGTCCATTCAAAGTAATATATGCATTCTGGGAAGTCACAATCATTGCAAAATCGTAGGAAACACTACCTTTGCCTTGTTGTAGATCCATAGTTATCCAGCATGTGAGTGCTGGCCACCTCCAGGTTCCAGTCACACATCTCCAGCAGCTTTAGACACTCTGATCTGCTCCTCAGGCCCAAACAGAACAACTGTTCTACCTGTAGAGAGGCAGGTCACAAGACATTGTTCAAGTGACCAAAGAGTTATCAAGAGGGAAAAAGATGGGGCTGTTAAAGAGAGTTCAAGGTGAAGAACTTTCATCTTTTTTACTGAATGGAGTGCCAGTGAGTGTAAAATTATTTCTGTCTTTGTACAAGCTCAGCTTGTTCAAACACATTCCTGTAGCTTAGCAGAATCTGAACCACGTGGATGAGTTTTTTCTGTGTCTCACAGACGTTTCCACCACCATCAAGGAACACTCAAGTGCTCCCTTGTGTCTACTGAAGTCCTAACAAATTGTCCATCCTGCCACGTTGGGCAAAACCACAGCCAGTTAAAACGGTGTTAAAACCCACCCTAAACATATCAGAGTGTCTACATGCTTTTTCATTTGGAGCTGCTCGCTGCAACTTTTCCTCAAGGATGAATAAAGTTCTCTTATCACAGCTCGATATGAGCCTATAGGGTAAAAGTGTAACTGACTGTGTCCATTTGCAGATACACCCTGTTATTACACAAACGACTGACCTGAGACTTGATGAACCCGATCTGGTAAGCACTGAAGTGTTTACCGCTGAGGTAGCGGATTTTCATGCAATCTTTGTTTTGATGGCCTGAGCCATAAAATGTTTTGTTCCTTTTATTTGTACAGTTTTATTTTATAAAGGTGTTTCTGCCAGTTGTGTGTATGCAGTACTTTAAGACTATGGAACCTGACCTTAAAAACAAACTACATCCCTTTTGCTATTGAGCTTTTTTACTTTTGTTATTTAAAATGAATTAGTTTGAAACTTTATACGGACTTTTTTTCATCTTATGACAAAGTAAAGATTTAAATAAACACCATTAAAAATAAACATCGAACAGAATTTTCCATTTAGGGTTTGTAGCCATACTTATTACTGATGATCCATACATGCAGTTATTACACTTTACATGCATATAGTCATGTGCAAATTGGAAATAACGCCTTTCCAAAATAACATTTCAATATGCAACAACACTAGAAAAGGGGAATAAACAAAAATTAATAAAAGTCAGTAAAAGTATCTCAAAAAACTAAAAAAAAAAATGACTGAAGCTTAAAGGAACATTTTTCCTTCTCACTTTTTACCATTTTCAGGCCTCCATACAACACTACTATGAGTTAACCAGTAACATATAATTTCTGAAACAACTCAACAGTCATAGTGTGCCAACTATGGCAGGAAATGCATTAGCTTTCAGTAAATGCACAAACCTTTAGATAATGCACAGCTTGCTGGACATTCCAGTTGTGGTTCTGGAGGGCGGCCTGGCACTCCTCCATCGTCACACCGTGAACCGCCTCCTGCACCTGAGACACACAACAACACTGAAGTTTAAACCCCTGATTCCTCACTTCTTGTTTTTTTTGGGGTCTCAGTAATCTTTTGGTATCTTTTTCTGATGAAGAAATCATCTAAGATTAAAGCTTCATGTACATCCTTTAGGTGAACAGTGGATTTACTGCTAAACATGATAAGAATCTCAGCTGGATTCAAGCATCGCTGCACAGATCAAGTTTTAAACGTTCACATCTCTTTTCAAAAACCACCTTAAGCCTGCTCAAATTTCAAGAAGATAAGTCTGACACAGTGTTCCTGTGTGTACCGAGACTGTGGCAGCATAATCACCAGGTTTTTTTTGTCAGTACTTCTCTTCGCATGAACTTGATTGAAACCCATGTTAACAATTTCATGCTACCAATCACTGCAGTTTTACGCAGATATTACTAGTAAACTCATAAGGCGCTATATACATTATATTCTTATAATACTCTGTCTTGCACTGAACTCCCCTGCAATGCAGCTGAGATAGCTCACATTCTTGCTGCACTACTTTTTGCAGCTGTATCAACTACAAAATGCCAAGTGCCTGAAAGCCTTCAGAGTTCACAGCGCTTCTGACTCCAGCCAAACTCGAACAGCGCGAGAATCAATTGACCAACCTAAAGAAACAAATGAAACTTTGAAGTTTCTTCTTTGAAATCTGATTCTCACCAAATATTTATATGGCCTTTGTCTCATAACGAATGCTAGTGTATTTTTAACAAGTTATGAGAAAATATTTGAGAATGCAAAAGAAAAAGCTTAAACATGTATGCTAACAATTTTTCTACTAAAAGGCATATAAAACATTCAATTTCCAATTTAATTAGTTACATTTGATGCATAACACATTAGTAAAGATTGCCTCCAGTTGTAAAATTACACCGTTTCTTAATTTGGTTGTCATGATGATTTGAAGGCGAAATAGAAAGTTGATCTTTTCAGAATCGTGCCATTAAAAGCTGCTGCATCACCTTCAATTCCTCACTCTTGCTGTCAGTGCAACAGGAAAGGAAACACACCACCGTACACCCACCATGCTCTTCCTTACAGAAAGCATTTAAACAATGAATATGGAGCTCCAGAAAACAGCATTACAACTGAGAGGAATCAAGCAAGCCAGTCATGAAATATGCACTGCAGACTATTTAAAGCCTGCTTCTTAGACCGATGCTAATGAATTACACCGAACACTGGGCTCATATTTTAGTTCTTTGATGTGTGATAAGGGATTTAGGATAAGGATTGCCTTAACAACAGTGATACTGAACTACAAACAGATGACTATCTGCTTAATACTTCTTACCAAATGACAAAAAGTAGCATTAAGAAGAACAAGGACAAGTATATGTAGCAAGCAGCACATCTTCCTGCAGGGGTTTCATATCCATCATGGCCAACCTCTGCACTTTCAATACAGATGTAAATCATTAATAACTTTCAGCGTTTTAAGTACTTTGCAGTTCAAATAACATTTTCTTAGAGGCACTTCATCCATCTTAGACCTTACCATCTTGACCCTATCAGCTGAGTTCCCTCCTCCGTCTGTCCTGGTACAGAAAGCAGTGACTGCTGGTGCTGTCAGCCCGTCTGAAGAGACGCGAGGAAGACTAACTGAACTCTTCATCCCTGACCGTGGCCAACCCAGATTGCTGTTATTATTGGAGGAGAAATTGGCTTTCAGGTCCCCACCCGGCTGGACCAGCCCCTGCACCTGGGTGTGCCCCTGCAGTGTGTGACTGCTGACCACCATTGGTCTGACTGTGGCTGTGTTGGCTTGCCGTACATGCTTTTCTTCCACATCGTTGGCAGGAAGGCTTTCAGCCTCCCTGAAGAAGCGATCGAATCGATCGAGATACGGTGGCCTCTCTGGCAGAAGGTAATAGTGGGTGTTACTGACTTTACGCCCGTCACGGACGATAGGCAGGATACAGGGGCCCTTGCTAGCAGCGTCCTTCCCCTGCACCTGGGCCTGGATCACTTTGGGTGCAGCATATTTGGGGTCCGAAGCAAAGCTGTGTGTAGTAGGCATGAGTTTACCTGGAGAGGTAGAGAGGTAGGAGCTGTAGGTGTGTGTGGGTGGGCAGGTTGTAATGGCAGCCTGCATTGTGTTGGGGCTGACAGAGTAGAGCCTCTGCTGGGGGGAACCCACTACCAGACCCATTGGGCTTGGAGTTCTTGATCCAGGCTGAGACAAAGGGTCTCTGGGAGGGATTTGAGGTGGTCGTTCCTGTCCTGCACCTGAAACATTTTCCGTGGTTTCAGTCGGCACTGGAGAAAGGGAGATGTCCCTTGACCAGTGGCCAGAGGTGTAGTCACCCTTCTTTATGGGGCGAGGGGGGATGGGAACTCGTGGGGGGATCTGGGGTCGGTCCTCGTTACAGGAAAGGACACTTTGCTGTTGTCCCTGCTGTTGGGTTTGGAGACTTTGAGGAGTCTGGGGACACGAGACTGAGCTCTGCAATGGCGAGCATGAACGAGGAGCACTTGCTGCCGGTACATTGAGCCTCCTCATGCACTCTTGTTGAAGTTCTTGAAAGATCTCTGCAGACTGTGAAAAAGAGGTGGACAGGCCCTGGCTGTGCTTGCTGGGGAGAAACAGGTTGTCTTCCAGACCTTGTCTGTCTGAACCTCTGGAGACTAGAGCCTCATCATTGACCTTCTGCCCAGAGGACAGAGTTTCTTCTGGATTGCGGCCATCACTGTGCTCTGCCTCATTCTGCTGCTCCGAGCTGTTGATGGAGCTCACCTTTTGGAGAAAGAAACAAGCTCACTGTAATATTACTTCAGGCAACACAAAGACAAAATAATTCCACTTTTATAAAATTTTGACACAGTGTTAAATGTATTGTGTAGCCCTACCTCCATATCATCCTCATCTTGTGCTACATCGTCATAAGCTGGGGGTGGGGGTAATGGCCGTGCATCCCAGTCCACTACTGGTGTAGGGTGAAGGGGGCGGGGCAATGATTTGGATGGGCTTTGAGGTGGTGTCCTGTCCAGGAGATTTTCTGCTTCCAAAGCCAACTTGGCCAATAGAGGAATTGGAATTTCAACCACGGGAGAGGGGGACGGTGTGGATATTGGGTACTCTTCCCCAAAGTCAATGAGGGTAACTTCACTGTTAGTGTTCTGGCCTGAGCCTAAAGTCCTGCAACCTCCCTGTTTGGAAGCAGAGACCCACACGGCCGGTTTAAGTTTGAGGCCTTTGACAGAACCCATTTTCCGAAGTGATAATCTCTTTAGTCCCGCAGAGGTCAGATCCTCCTCCTCATTTACTGGGTCATAGGAAGGTTCTGGAGATGAAAACACAACATATTCTTGATGCAGTTTAGAGATCATTGACACCAAGGTTGTTTAAGATCACTTAATACCACTAAATGCAAGACACACAGCTCCAAAAAAACTTGCCAGGTGTGACTGGAGAATACAATGCACAGCAAGGACACTGCACACCTTTTAGAGGGACAAAGGTGTAGAAAAGAACGGGGGGGGGGGGGGGGGGGGGGGGTCCACTGCAAAGACAGGCAAGGAAAAGATGAAAAACTCTGAGATGTACCTTTGAGGAGTGGAACTAGAAGGGAACAGAGGGGGCAGGAGCAATGGGTGAAGAGCTGCTGAGAGAAACCAGACTTACTCTTGATTAACACTGCTGGTTGAGGAGGGCGGGGAGGAGGCTCCTCTGGGGAAAATAATAACAGATGCCACCAGCGCAAAGGAGAAACAAAGAGGGGAAGAAATGACAGCAGTAAAAGATATTAAGATAAGAATAAAAACAGCAAGCGCCATTACATCTGAAAGCTCTGTTAGGATAAAAGCAAAGCGAGCTCTTCAGTGTCTTTTTGCACAGCAGCAGCAGATCTTGAAATTTCAACCAGCAATGCATAATGGAAATAAGAAGAAGAAAGAAGCACTCTTTAAAAATTAGGAATATGATCATCTGCTCAGTCTGTCACTGAACTGAAGAGGTATTGAGGCAAGCTTTTTGGTAACAGTTATACATCATACAGGTATACATTTCTATAAAGAGCTCTTTCACTCACTTTTAGCTCGTCCTGCTAGCTGTGTGGGCTGTGCAGCACTGAGGTCCAAGCCCAGAACGTCAGGAGGATCCATGGGATTCCCGAGGTACAAACTGTTGGCAAGAATGAGACATGTTAATGCAGGAAACATCAGTGGACTGCATATAACTAACCCACAGCAGGTGCTGTACAATCACGTTGCAAAAGCAGCTTAAGCAGCCCGCTAGTGCCATCTATTGGTGAGTGCTTACTATCACTGCAGCCCAACCGAAAGACCATTTAAAACATTTCTAGATGCATGATATGGATGCCATTTCATGTTCATTAAATAATCAAACTCAGCTTGAAAAGTTAATAAACAAAAGCTGTCTCTTACTCATCGATCCTGTCAGGGAAGCCCCAGCAGCGATGGGGATTGGTGTCTCCATGTCCTGTGTGGATGAAGCTGTTCTTGAGTGGACGACTGATGTCGTGTGCAGACAACCCTGCTACAGAAGTCACCACATTCCTGGGGAACTGCCCGACCTTAAGGGTGCGCTTATTTTGACCTCGCCACCAATAATTCTCTGCCCTGAAACGTATTAGGACAGATAATTATATTGGGTATGAAAGCAGACTGCCACTTTTTGACATTGAGAGTCAAGGATGTGTTTTTTTCCAGCCCATACTCCATCCTTGCATTAGCTACAGGCCCATCTGTTGGAGGTGAATGTGGGGGTTGCAGCTGGTACCAGCTGACACTGAGTGGCAGATGGGGGAAAACCTTGAATTCACGCTCACATTCACACCCGCGAGCAATGTAGACTTGCTGATAAACAAACACATCTTTGGACTGTGGGAGGACTCTGAAGTGCAGCCTTGCACACTTCTCTGCACTGCACTGTGTTTGCATTCAAGACAATGTTTATCAGTAGTGGGGTTGGTATGTTGCAGAGGAGAGTTTAGACTCATTTGGGGGGTGCTCACTCATACCCGAATGTAATCAGAGCACCCCTAAAAATATTAATAGTACTAATAATAGCGTATTTTAGTATTATTTTCTGGAAATATCTTCAAATGTCTATCTGTCTATTTATAACACTACAGGATAAAATAAAAACAGTAGTCTGCTGGTATATCAGGAGCTGCCAACCAAGGGGCTGCTGTACTTTATTATTTGACTTTGATAAATATTTATTTTCCTATTCTAGTCAAATTGGGCTCCAGTGTTTGTTTACAGTACAGCATCAGATCCAGGTGACAGCAAGTCAAAAGGTGAATGCCTGTCTATGTCCAGCAGCAGCCTGTATTCACTTTGAATATTGCTATAAACTGATATGGATCATGTAGATCAGTTTGTCTTTTATTCACAGTAACGTTTAACTTTTGGGTGACGGCACAAAGACTGAGAGAGGATAGAGAGGGAGAGACGAAGACAGCAAAGAGAGCAAAAAGAAACAGGAAAGAGTGGACATGTAGTCAAATTCACCAGAAATGATAATGCTGTAGCTTCTCTTTTACCCACATTCATTAATGATGAGTTCACATAACTAAGCAGTGTGTTTTCCTGTTTTCTGTGCCTGATGTAATAATTATTATTATAAGATTATATTTTTGTTATTTTCTAGTTTCTAGTCGAGTGAGGAGGCTGGAGAGAGAAAAGACAGAGCTTTTAGAAGAACCGCAAGAATGAGGGAGCAATATCAAATGCCATTATTCACAAAGTCGCACTTAAAACATGCCAGTGGACATTCTAAAGAGAGCATATTGATATATGATGCTGAGTCTGCTTAATAAATGAGGGTTTGTAGTAATATAAAATAGCTATTAGCAGTTTGCTTCGTTTGCAGGTCTATGGACTAGCAGTGTGATTTTCCAGTGTCTGTACTGAGTGAGTGCTTGATGAGCTGGTGGACTGCCTCTATGTTGTTAAGAGGCTGAAATTTTTTTTTGCACGTTTTTCATCTTTTCTGCTTTGCCACAAATGGTTCTTTAACGACTGAGCCTTTGTATCGAGTTTGATAACTAAAGGCTCCACCCTAAAACGTGTGGAAAAGATTGAAAATTCTGATTGTTGACACTGAATTATTGTCACACATAACAACAGGTCCCCCAACTAATTAGGTTGCCTTTGAAGATCCCATTGTAACGTTTATTCAATTGAAGGTCTGCACATGCGAAAAGGGTTGATTAAATTTGCAAACAGCATATTGCGTCATTATTAATTACAAAGCAATCCATTATGATTGGGAGTTGAGCCCCCCCACAAGTCTGACCCTAGAATCGCCCCCGATGTGTCGGTTTAATTACTATTTTAAGACCTTTTATCACCCACCTCCCCTCTATGATGGTGATAATGTCATCGACCTGGATCTGGAGTTTGTCAGGCTCATCAAAGTCCTGGAGAGCACACATGTCTGTAGGCATAGACTGAAAAAAGAGACAAAGACAGAAAAAATATAACAGATTTAATAAGCGGCCTGTTCACTTTTTTCTTTGAAATGGCACCACTAGGTGGAGCTAATGCTAAATTTATATAATAACAACATGATGTCAGCAGAGAAGTTAAATGAATGTAGAAAACATGCATGTTTAAATCCTAGAGTGATGGTTAAATGACTGCTAACGCCACCTCGAGCAGGAACTCGCGTAGAGCAACAAAAGTTGGTCTGTCATCAGGTTTCTGAGCCCAGCACTGCAGCATGACGTTATAGATATCCTGTGGACAATCCTCTGGCTTAGGGAGGCGCTCACCCTCTTTATCAATCTTATGGAGAATCTAAAGACAAAAGAGTACAGCTACGGTATATAAATCACTGTCTATATGAGCAAATTTATGTATTTTGGCTTCAGAAGTTTGGTTTTTGTTGATCCTTTTTGTGCGTTTACCTGACTACCATTAAGACCCAGCCAAGGCTCCTGACCGTGTGTGAACATCTCCCAGAGGGTGACTCCAAACATCCAAGTGTCTGTTGCATGGGAGAAGGTTCTGGTCTTTAAACTCTCTGGGGCACACCTGTAACATGAAAAACAATACACTACAGTCTATAAACCAGCTGTGCACAGTCTGAGCATAAGTGTGGAGTAGGGATTTAAATGGGGTGTTTCCCTGGTGTAAGGATTTGTTTTGAAAAAACGATTTCTAAATTCTGCCTTGGCTGATAGTTTTAACAACAAAGCAACAATTAAATGAGTTCATTCCACCCACCACGCAAAGGGGACCTTGCGATGCTCCTGCATGACATAGTGCTCGTGGTTGTTAGGCAGCGCCCTCATCAGGCCAAAGTCACCAATCTTCACTCTGTGAGCCGTGGCCAGCAGGATGTTCCTGCAGACAGGGTGGTGATGTTAACAATTAGCTGGAAATCCTAAAATGAACCTTCAAGCTGGAAAACATTAAATGAACGAACTCTTCTACATGTATAACTAATGTTCTTAATAATAACTATTTCAATAATAATTGTAGAGGAGACTTGGTCCGTATGCATTTTACTGATAGGCCAAGCACAAGACTGCAGATGTAGGATCTATTGAAACTGAGCATGATTAAAAAGATTAAACTCATTTACAAGTAAATAAATATTTTAGTTCGATCTACTAATATGTAAAGAGAACTATTATTTCTAGTAGTTTGGGTCTGTTCAGCTCCCTGTCTTTCCATGTGCAGACATGAAAGCCAGAGGCAGGAAGAGAAACAGCAAGATGTTAGTGACAGATATGACAAGTCACTGATTAGGTCTTGTGGACAGGCTAAAGCAGCTTAAATGGTGTGCCATAACAGAAAGAGATTTATCTGTTATGAACTTTTTGGTGTGTTAGAAAGTCAGCAGATCTTTATCTCAGAACGCTTCCAGCCTACAGGATACAGTGCGTGCCCAGAGAGCTCAGCAAACCTTAACGCAGCAGCTGTGTGTAGTCATTACTCTTTTATTACAGCTTTAACTGGTAAAGTGACTCATTTGTACCGGCCATTAAGGTTTTTCCCCAGACCTCTACATAGTGTCAGCACTTAAGTGAAAGTGTCTAATTTTGGCAAGACCAAGAACTTGGACCACCCAGTGCTTCCAGCCAGTGACTCATTGTGCTTATGGGCCAAGTCTCCTGTTAATGGCCTGTAAATTTCTGGGTGGAGGAATAGGAGAGGCAATATAAATAATTCACCACAGCAGAAAAATTATTCCTGAATGTGAGCAATGCATTTTTTTTTTACTAGTTTTTTACTCTTTTTTTGCCCCTACCAAAGCTCTGCACCCTACCTCGCTGCCAGGTCCCTGTGGATGAACCTCCTCTGCTCCAGATAAGCCATGCCACAAGCCACCTGCACAGCATACTGACACAGAGTGTGGATCAACACTGGGCCTTGAGGACGAACGCAGCGCAAACGCTCCAGCAGAGAACCGAGAGGTGCCAGTTCAGTCACCTACAGCATGCCGGTGAAAAAGAGAAATAGAGCATGGGTGAAAAGAACGGACAAACTCAAAGCTTCTTTTGTCCTTTCGCATTTGCATATGTGGCAAGTATACACAGAGAATATCGGCCCCGAGTTAAAGCAGCTACTGTAAATGGTTATGTGCACTCGCATTTATCTGTCTGTATATTTCTCCCTGTGCGTGTGCATTTCTGTGTGTCCACTACCATCTTCATTGGGTGTGTGAGCACCACACCGTAGAGGCGGATCAGGTTTTGATGGTCCAGCGAGTGCATGACGTTGACCTCACAGATGAAATCCTCCAGAGCGTCGGGCTGACTGAGCACATCTGTCTTCAGACACTTCACAGCCACGTTCAGCTAAAAAAATGATGAGTTCAAACATCAGATTCTGCTTCTCCTCATACTCAAAGTGTCTAAAAAGTTCTCATGAAAATCCCATTAAAAAACAAAAGAAAAAAAAAAAACATTCATGCGCCTGCTTTTATCTGTTCCTAGACAAGATGCAAACAAGCAACATGTTTCATGCAAAAGAACTGTGTGAGCACACTCCAGTTATTTCATATTTCCAACATGTTTTTGTTTTGTTTTTTAAATTGTGGATAAATTGTATAACAATATGCCTCCTCACCACCTTCCCCGCAGGTGTCAACCACTCTCCCCTCTTCACGACGCCAAATGAGCCGTCGCCCAGCTTCTCAAACAGCGTTAAGTCCTTCTCTGGGATGAGGCAGGTCAGACCCTGCTGCTCCCCGTCGAGGAGAGTGCCACCACTGGGCTGCGTGGCTAGGACTCCCTCCCCGACGCCCAGAGGTGGTGTGGGAGACAGCTTACGAAACGAGGAAGCCGGTTGACCCTGCTGGGGTATGTCTCCTCCATCTGGACGTTTACCACTAAAAACCTGGAGAGAAACAGACAAAAATGAAGACGTGTGAAAGCAGAGAGAGGGGCACTAGAACATAAAAATATGAGCATAATTTAACATTTTGCATAAACAGCAACATTCTACATCCTGGTTCCCCCTTTTTCTATTTATGTATAATAGCAGGTGGTTGAAAAGCACACTCGTCTGACAAGCAGTCTCAAAACCATTACTGCAAGTTCTTGTGTGTGCAGCGAGGTCTTTTAATGGCTTAAATTTTAAAAACGAAGCTTACACATAAAGAAAACATCATGAAGTTTGTGGAAAAAGTAAATAAAATTCCATGCACGTATACTAACATGAGCACACATGTTTTTGCACACACACAAAATACTTAGAAATTTCCTGCCTCTTGGCTTAAGTACTAACAACACAGCAGGAATAACTTAGCTGTTAGGAAGTACTCATTAAGAAGCCCTATTAGATTAAGTGACCTGAATGGCTCTGTGTGCTTATGTTTGTATGCCTGCATTTGTGTGTGTGTGTCCATGTGTGTTAATGATTCATTGCCAGTCTCCTAAATCCGAACCCATAAAAATATGTGTGCCGTTTGGCGCCACCAAGGGAAGCCTTTGTTTAGAGGACTTGAATTAGACTGTTTACCAAAATAGGAGTTCACAGAAACTGGTGGTGATATTAGCTAGCAGGGATGAAATCAAGCCGATAACATGTCAGATAAAACACTAGAAGAGCCTCTTCTACGGTGGTAACACAAATACTACATTACGTATCAAATCAGTGATGTCGGATTCACTTAAAAACATCTCTTATTGGCTCATGAACGTAAGGTCAGTACTCAGAAATTATGTCATCAGTAAAAAAGAGGTGTCAATGAATATCTAGTGCCAAACATATTTGACTGGCTGGATATAAACAGTAGCAAGCGGTATGTGGTTTCACATTCACACTGGACCAGACATGACATAATGCTGCAGACCTTTTTTGAAAGACACCACCTCTGTGTGGTCACGGTGTGGTTAGTTCGTTTCAAATAGAGGGCTGGATATTTAAATAATTCTGACTATGGCGCGCACACACAGACCCATAAACACACACACACACAATCACACACGAGTGGAGTCATAAGAGTCGGTGACACACAGATTCGGCTCAAGCTGCATTCACAAAATGCTGTCTTATTAAATTCCCCTTAAAGAGACAGAGCTTTTTTTGCTTTAAGTTACTTCTTCACTTTCCTTTAATAAAAGACTCAAAGGGTAATTAAAAGACAAAAACTGCGAGGTATGTAATACACATGCTGACGCAAATACTCAAAGGAATTAACCATCGAGAAGGAATACTGAGGAGAAGCCGTCAGAGTTGTGTGGGTGCGCATGTGTTGGATGAGTGTAGCCGTGGTTCTCACAGGACGGTGTTTGCCATCTAAAATTACACCTGTCTGCTTCCGCCTCTGGCACTATCCTCAGATAGAGTAATCTGCTTCCTCAGCTGGCTGTGACAGGATGTGTGTGTGTGTGTGTGTGTGTGTGTGTGTGTGTGTGTGTGTGTGTGTGTGTGTCCAACTATCTTTATGAGAACTACTTTGAGTTTGGGAGCCTTACACTGAGGACATTTTGGAAAATGAGGTCTTTTTAGCTTGGTCCTTGCTTAAAAGGCCATTTTTATGGGCCAGCACTTAAGTTAGGATTAGGTTAGGCTAAGGCAGTTAAGATGGCATGGTTCAGTTTAGGATTAGGAACTAGGGAATGCAATGTCATTGAATGTCCTAGCAAAAATAGCCTTGTAAGTGTGTGTATGTTTATATCTGAATATGGACTCACTGGCCCTCCTCGTGTGTCCTCTGGAGAAAAATTACTCTTTATATAAAAAATAAAAAACTCTCCTATAATCATCACAGGTCTAAAAAAAAAAAATGTGCTAATTGAAAGGAAAGTTTCTCTTAGCGACACCTCACCACAATCACGAATGTTTGTGGTCGATTTAAAACCTCTGCACTACTAACAGGCAGTATTAAGTTAAAGGCTGCTTTTAAGCACATACGACTATGTTAACATCTTTCCCTCAGATTACAACGTACTGATGCCAGAATTCATTCAGGGGGTGCTGATCATATCTGCGCGGAGGGCGCAGGTTACTGTGGTCATGTATCCACACTGTTACACCCAGACGGATTCCACAGTGGCGACATCCTGCCAAATATACCGTGCACCATACCGAGTTCTGATGTGCGCTGTGCTCGTCTATGTCTGTCACCTTGCTCATCCAGGACTTGCGCTTGCACATGGCTTTCCTCCTTTTCACGGCCTCCCACAGCCTTCTCTGCCCTGCGGTCAAGAAGAAACAAAAAGAGGCAATAGGTCAGTGGCAAGGCATTCAAATGAGGACTGCAACTGCTCAAGGATCCATCAGGAGGAATCTGAGTGAAAGAAGGGTATACCATAATGAATTTCAACACATTTACCACAACAGGAAGAAAACCAAACACCCAGCTTTGATATGAAATGAGACAAAGAGCAAAAAGCAAAGGGAAGGAGGAAGAAGAAAAGATAATAAAGCCCCAGAGAGCAGTGAGCTGTGCAGTGGAGAGACATGTGAGGGAATATATGAGCATGCGAAGTGGGTGTAATTAGTCTTAAGCGGCTGTGAAGCACAGGCCCTGAGGGCTTCAGTAACTGGATTTAGAACAATTCTGCTGTGATCCACTTTATACACACCGCAGACAAAAGATCTGACAGTTTAATATCCACTCTCACTGTACCTAATTACAAATTGTGACTTTGTAATGACATTAAATGCATTAGTGATGCAGGATTTGTTCAAGCAACATCAAGGGTGAGCCAAATGACACAGTGCCATTACTGAACACAAGAGTCATACTTAAGGCTATGTATAGATGCATACAGAGAACAAAAGTAATCATAAATATAAAAATTGCTCATTAAGCTATGAAAGTGCTGCTTTATTAGGAAATAAAACACATGAGCAGAGAAGACAGTAAATGATGATTTTATGAAGTCGTAGTTTGGAATCAGAAATTCTGTGTCTTGCGCTCATTTCCAGTCTTGAAAGAGTTGATAAAAACAAGCCACTGAACAACAGCCATGCTTTCAGATATCTAGCTACACTAAACCACCGCTCTGAGCTAAAAGCTAATATCTACTTCTACGGTCTACAGCCTGGTAACAAAGGCAGTGCCAACATCAATATTTTAAGACTTATAATGTATATTAAATATATTCAGCATCTGAATTTAGCATGAAAGAGTTACAACATTTGCTAATTAGCACTAAAACTACAGGAAAAACTGAAGCTGATGGGGATGTAGTTCATTTTTAGATCACAAATTATGGACAAAGAGTACAGGAGATAAACCGTAGGATTTTTCCTTTGAATAAGGAACATTTATACTAAGTATCTAACACTGGAAGCCACTAGCAGGAATACAAATTTAAACACAAGAGAGACATGCCAAATGAACATCTGGATGAGCTTCTTTGGCACAACAACACTGCGGTTCTCTCATTCACTCACTGACAAAAACACACACATACACGCAGGTACTGTGTCTCACCGGGTCGACCCATGCCGATTTTCTCCAGGTCTTCATTCTTTACGTAGTCAAAGTGCGACAGCCGTGTGACGTTAAGGTCATCTCGGATCCGTAAGAAGTACTGCTGCAGCTGCACTTCCATCAGCAGTTCCAGCAACCATTCCGTCCCTTCCTCACATTGCATGCTGCTGCCCAGTTTCTGATAAAAATACAAAGACACACACAGAGTTAAGCCCATTCAATAGTCATTCAACACCTCTCCCAATGCATGCTCCAAAATCCGTAAAATACACTCAAAAAGGAAGTCAGCCATCAACAAACAGAGAAAGAAAGGAAACTGAGCTCGGAGCCAGCTCCCTCTTAACTAAATCATTAACAGCCTATTGCTTATAAAAATCAAGTCACAAACTCAAGATCAAGGGGGCTAAAGCGGCAAACATACTGTAGCATAAGCTACTTATCAAAGGATAAAAACAATGAAAACAGTCATTTTCACTGCAATTTGATGTCACTGTGGTGTCAACAAACCACTTAGTCTTCAATTAAGTTAAGCTCAAAACAAAGAAAGTTGTTTTTGGCTGACTTGCTGTAGACTGCTCAGACATGAATGTGCCAAAAAAAACAAAAAACAAGAAGAGCAATACAAGAAATATATTATGCAAAACTGATGTCCAAACGTCCAAAAACCAGACGTGGCCCCGAAACGGTTTCACCGCAATTCCTCACAACACCGAGTCAGCCCATCAATCTTTAACGTAAAAACAAAAAACATCCATTTAACGTAACCAGAAACCTAAACCTAGATGGGCTTCTTCACAAGGCTATCGTCTCAAACTGATGCAAGTTCAATTCAAGACAGTAAACAGCTTTGCTGGAGAACAGCTACACCTGCTCAGAACTTTAAGGAAGTAAACTTGTAAACCAAGCTTAACAACACATGGAAAAGAGAAACATTCCTAATCCGCACATAAAGGCAGACAAAACTTTACGATGGGTGCTCTGGCTGAAGGGGTCACTCCACTGATCAGTATTTAGACTCGGCGAATGAGGAACTTCCTGTGCTGGCAAAGGCGAGGTTACGAGGTCCAGAGAACAGTGTCACAAAGGTCACTGCTTCCTTGCTCGCTGCCATTTAAACTTCCTGAGGGACTTGCTTAGAGGCCATTTCCTATTACATTTACAAGTAGCGGTAAAAACACACCACACACACACACACACACACACACACACACACCACACACACACACACACACACACACACACCACACACACACACACCAACACACACAGACACACCACAGCTGCCATAAAATAAAGCCCGTATGTGACCAATCGCTAAATCTATCCCTAAATCTACTATGTCTTTTCAGAAATAGCTGTTCTGTATTTTACAGGAATTTTAGATGTGAGGTCTGACTGAGGTCAACTTACTCAGTCCCCAATGGTTATGGCAGATGTTTGTATCCTGATACAGATTCATTCCTATAACCATAAAAATGGGTCAGCTGTCTTTTTGAAATCACAGGAGTCCTCTTATTTTGGTAAAAAAGTCCCACTGTCAGAACATTCTTTGAAGCTATCTTTGAAATCCTCCTGTTTGTTGAAAACAAGAAGTAAAACGGTACACTGGTAAGCCAGGAAACATTCTCGCGTGATCCGGTGACAGTAGTGCCTGTGGTTTTAGGATTAACTAGAGCTGCTGTCATTTGAATCCATCTCCATATTTTGCATTTTGCTACATCATGCCTGACTCTTATCCTGAGAAAGACGATCCAACGGCCCTTTTGGCTGGTCCACTGCGGGTTAAGCTGTGCCAGTGGCAGACATGCTATTAAGAGTTTGACGCAAAAGTTTTCCCAAACAAGAAACAAATGATTTTTCATTTTCATTTAATCCTTTCATTTTTCCATGAAAACAAGCCCAACTCATCCTTTACAATCTTCCCCAGCAGCAGTCACCACTGAAGAAAGAATGCTATTTCTCTGGACGGTGCCAAAGACGCAAGTCAGCTTTCTCTTGGGCCTCATTTCATGGCAGTGTCATTTGAGGCACGAGGGGTCAAAATCAAGGAGATGAAGCGCTTCTACTTCTTGGCCCACTAGCAAACAAATTATTAACCCATTAAGGCATGTTGGGTTTGTTTTTTCCTGAGACACGTTCATAGAAATAAGCTTTGATACAATTAATTTAGGTGGTTAAGAAAGAGCTTTATACAGGGTGTATCAAAAAGAAACATCTGACTTTAAAGTGCTTTAAATCCGCAGCTGTTTACTGGTAACAGTCCAAACACGTACTGGTAGAAAGCGAGGATTTAAAAGATTCATGTGGTTGTTGGGACGAGTTATCGTATTGATGTGTGCCATGTATCTGGTTGGGGACACACTGAGCACGTGTAAACGATGCAAGTATTGTATGTAAAACTTTACATGCAAGCGTCTATGCCCATTACTTTGAAACATATAGCCTTTTGAATTAAGGCGATTCTTTTTGATACACCATGAATCTTCACCAGCTGAGATCATCAAATTATACGTTCTCCGAACAAAACAGTGTCCTTCCTTTATTTAGTTTATGTAAAACGTCATCAGGGGCTTAACTTCTCCTAAAGTAGGAAGTAGAAAATGTACATTTTGAAGATGTGAGGTTAAACTTGAAAGAAATGCTGCATCCCAACTGTTAGAAATGACTTCCGTTAAGACTCTGAAGAATCCAACCAGGGCTAGAAATCCAGAACTAACTAGTGATCTATATACTTTCCTTCATTTCACCATATTTTAAAGAAGCATCATGAAATGCTGACAGATTAAGAAGCTAAGCCTGTTTGCACTAAACTGTCCAAGCTTAGCGTTTACTTCAAAAAAATATTGAAAACGACCAAACAGGGAGGAAAACAAAGAGAAATAAATGAGGGATGCAGGAATTTAGATGCAGAGAAACAACATGGTGTCATTGCTGAGAAATGCTTTTGGCCTGAACGAATTCCTTAAGGTGGTGCTGATATTCACACAGGCGCATGTACACGTACACACACACACACACACACAGACACACAACACACACACACACACACACACACACACACACACACACACACACACAACACACACAAACACATCCACCAGCACACGCAGAAATGCATATCTGTGTTAAATCGGTTCTGCTCTCACATCCTGCTGCAATAACAACCATCCCTGGGGAGAGCCTCAGACCAGCTGGAGAGTCCACACACACACACACACGCAGAGTTACAGACAACTGACCTCCACCATACCATATTCATGATTCATGTATTCTAACAACTAATTAAACCACATGACTCTGACTATAGTTACAAGCATCCATGTCATGCTAAAGAAGATATCCCCTCAATGGAATATGGAGAGTAGACAATCCAGCAGAGCAGACTTACTCGATATACGTGAAAGCGTGCCAGGAAGGGGAATGTCTTTTTCAGCTTGTCAAAGCGTCGCATCCTGAATTCCTTCGTCTGGGATGAATGTAGGTGCAAATAAAGTGCATACACGTTTAAATGGCCCGTGGTTGTTGCTTGTCCTTTAAATCATTACCAGAGCCACAGCACCCTTGGTTTGAGTCTCTGAGGGAATTCTAAGAAGCGCACACAGTTTTTGGATCCGGACCCAAACCTATGAACCCGAGAAGGGGAAGAAAAACTTCCTGAAACCCTGCACGCAAATCTACAGCATTCCATGGCGGGGTCAATCCTCCTCTAAGCCCCTTCTACTGCTTCAGCTCCCCACAAGAAGTCAAAGAGGCATTTATGTAGCACTTGAGAATGCAGAAGAGAGCTCAAACTGGCTTGTAATATTAGGAAAGAAGGCTGGAGAGCGAATGGAAGCTGCTGCTTCTAGCAGAGAAAGCCTCCCAGCTCTGCCCTCTGCCCAAGTCCAGCCATGTGCCCTCCTCAGACAGCAATGAGCCAGTCATCCAAACTTGCAGAACTTCACAAATAAGTCACTCCTTCTTCCTCCCTTCCTTTCACTGCCTCTGTCTCTCTCTCTCCCCGTCTCGCTCTCTCTGCTTTGCCTGTGCATATACTGTCTGTTTGCTTTTCGATCCCTCCATCGCGCATGGGACTAAAAATAGGAGCGTCTTCTGCCCGATTCAATCCCCTCGGCAGCATAAACAGACGAGCCAGAGTCGGCGTCTCCGGCTCCACTTTTTAGGCTTTAAAAACATGCATGTCTGCCAGCGGGGGGAGGGAGGGGGGCCAGTCTGCATTTGTTTACAGGTAGCATATGTGCTTGAGCTTCATGTTGACTGCTTATAATTCTCACTTCTGCATCAGCCAAATTTTCTCTACCCCTTTATCCTGCCCCCTCCTGCAACTCCACTCCTCACCCTATCTGTCCTGACCCCCGAACCCCCCACCCACCCTCCTCCTGCCGTCCGTGCAGTGCAGAGCAGAGCGTGGTGCAGAGGACAGAGGCTTCATGGTATTCAGCCCGGAGGAGCATTTGATCCAGGGCCAAAGGGTCACATTCAACTGCAGGAGGGGGAGCTTGTTTCCTGTGATGCAACCTCCCAAAGAGACACACACACACACACACACACACGCTCTTCCAGCTTCTCCCTCTGTTGCCTTGCAGAATTTCCCAACCTGCTTAGTGTAATATTTTCTCAACTGAAATGTATTGTTGAATGGCAATCATTATCTCTATGATTTACGAGTAGATTTTCCTACTATATATTTTTTCAAGTTTCATTTTAAATCTATTTGTTATGATCTTTAATCACTTATAACCAGCGCATTGTGTAAGAGTATCTGCTTAACAAACCCAGAAGCATACTCGAAGCACCAATCATTAACCACCAGGATCATTCGGACAATGAAATAGTGTATGAATAATTTCTGAGGTATGAACCACACGATGTGCAAAACAGGTTTACAGATATCTGTTAGTGGATGACTAATAGTTTACAGTAATAGTGAAGAAAAAACCCACATGATTATAATTATGATTACATAAGACCTGCTCAGGTCACTTAACCGCGGTAAACTCGCACACTCCTTTTCTGTCACTGTGACGTCTTTTTTGCGCTGACTAAAACGCCTGCCATCTCCCTTCTCCTCCCTATCCTTCACTCTTTCATTAATCCCTTCTCTTTCACTCCCATGCCTCCTTCTGTCCCTCTTCTTTATCCCTGAGGATCTGGCCAAACTCTTGCATTTTCTTCTTTATTTGGTGCTGCCTTTTATTTCCTGCCTCTAATCCTCTAAAAATGTTATCTCTCTTCCACTACGCTGACTATAAACAAACCCGTAGTGGCTGTTTTTCAGACCAGTGGTGGCAATAAGCCACATCTGCCTCCGTGGGCAGATATTATTAAACTTTTGCCTTTCTGATTTCACCACTCCTCCTCCCCCTTCTTTCGCTCGCTGTGCTGTTTTTCATAAGTCTACCCCATCAATCCACACTTTGACTTAGCTGTTCCCTTTTCACTAGATTTAGTTTTTTATAACGCTCCCTCTGTCTCACTCTCTCTTCCATTTACTTCCACACACTTCTGCTTTGAATTAGGAAGTTTTGTGTTTACTAGTCTAAGGGTGGACAGAAGGCGAGCAGGCAGAGGTGTTATGGGATGGAAATAAAAACTACAAATGGTGTTTGATCATGAAGTATTGGAGTTTAATCAGAGACGGGAAAACAGGCCTTTGTCAGAGGCGGGTGATGCTGTGCAGCGTGAGTTTGCATACCAATTTATTTGTGTAGTTTGTGTACTTTAATCAGCTGTCTAAATGACAGACTTTATTTGAATGTTTTGATTTATAAAAATTATTATTTTTAACTGTAATGTGTAAGTGAACAAATTGTCTCACTTTAGAGTGACGTTATAATAGAAGATTCAACGAAGTCAGCCAGGCAAAGGCAGGCGGCCATACTGTCATCAACACAGGGAACAGTGTGCTAGCTGATGATATCCACATTGGAGTTTCTTTACTGTGCCCCTTGCCCACATGGAGAGGGATCCGAATGACATCAGCCAAAACTTTAAGAGAACATGGCCTACTGTATCCTGCTGGAAATTCGGATGTAGCGTGATGTGTAATTAAATAAATCCACAAGGCCCTCACACAGGTGGAAAGTCGCAGCTCATGGTCATCACCTTAACACAAGCCGACTAAGGATACCAAACTTTTTATATAAGTAGAACAGCCTAAAAATCCCAATGCCTTCCGTTTGGATTTCTTAGTTTACAGAGTCTCTATTGCTTTTGTTTGACAGCATTGCATTAAAGTATATTATAGTTACTATATGAGTCAAGCATCCAGAATCATAAGGATCACGTAGACCAATTAATATCATAACTACCTCCCTAAACTATTTAGATTTTTGCATCAGCCGTATTTTAATAGATGCCAATATAGAAATTGTCACAGTAAAGTTAGCTTCAGTGATATGATAAATAAGGAAGTAATGTTTGCTTTGGAGCACTTATGTAACTCACAAGACTGTGAAACAGATGCTATGAAATAGCCCACATTCCTGAAAATCAGCAGCAGGACAAAAAAGGACATTACTAACATAACTGGATTTTTACAAAATGTTGTCCATTAATTCATCAAAAGAAACAACACTGAACAATTATCAGTTGTCAGTGTGTGTGTGTGTGTGTGTGTGTGTGTTGGATTGATTAATCAACATGATTCAACAGTAATGAAGGTGAAAAAAGCAATAGCTTTAAACCACTTCAAACAGAACTCATTATTAATTACCTTTTTTATTTAGTTAAAGAAATTTTAAAAAACAAATAAAGAGATAGTCTGGGATAAAAAGAAGAGGAAATATGGCAACACCAGTGTGGCAGTTTAGTGAAACGGGAAGCTGTGTGTGTGATAATGCAGCGTTTGTGTAGAGTACCATCAAATATCCAATTTCATCTGATGTTTTGTTAGAAATCAGTGGAAGGAATGTGCCAGAGAGTCGTCAGCTGCCCCCTGACTAAGGAGATTAGAGCAATATGATTAACATAAGTCAATATGTATTGTTGCCATATGAACACTAGGGGGCACCAAATCTTAATATGAGGGGTTTTCATTGCTCTGTGTGTGACAAGCATTTGTTTTTCCACTCTAAAAAGACTTTGGGATTACACAGGTCACTCAAACTTTTATCAGTTGCCATTCTGGTTATGTGGGGCCAGTTTATGACCAGTGGCAACAAAATCCAACTAAAGTCCTCAGAGAAAAACAGCCCATTTTACCATGCCTCGAGGTGTCTTGACAACTAGTGGCTGGTGATTAAGACAAAAAATTATTATCAATTTTTTTTATTGCTTGATAATTAGGATTCAAATGCTGAAAGTGAAGAAAATTTTGAGTCAAAATTGTAAATATCTTGAAATTTCAAGTTAACAAACTGAAATCTCAGTTTGGATGAAAACTATGGTCATTTTTTAAATCAGAACCAGATAGCATTTAAAACCAGGGCTCTATCTGGCATTACCGTGTAGTTACAGTAAGTCACAATATGACTGTAGTGATGGCATTTGTGTCAAACAATATCAATATTTAGTGACTTAAACATGTGATATTTTGATATATTGGCCAGTAATTTTTTCCTTCATAAAAACAAAACAAACAGATTTCCATAACACCTATTTTGTGTAGTTGCTTACTCATTTACACTGCTCAGATCAACTGGTTGGTTGGGCATCCATACATGCGTGGTGCCATAGTGAAGTTGCAGAGTGCCCTCTGGTGAACAAGCTATGCAACATCAACACTCATCAGATGGTTTTTCTCCCATCTCTTCTTTATCTTTTTTAATTTTCATTCATCAGTTGATATAAAAGCAGTTGCTGATAGTTTAGTAAACACCTAATTTCAGTTGCTAATTGGTCGATTTTCTTGATTTTTTTTTTTTTTCAGTTTTCACTGTCTGTTTGGTTTGACTGAGGTTTGGTTTACGCCCTAGTTTGGGTCAAAATACACCACTGTGCAATGTTCATGGTAATAAAGCTAAAGTAGAAAGCTAAAGTAAGCTAAATAAACTTTTACATGCAGTCTTTTTCTACACAAGTTCTACATATATCACATCACAATAACCTGATCACCTGTGGTGACGACCCTGGAGGAAGCTAAATGTGACCCGTTTATCAAGATCAATGAAATTTATTCAATTAGATAAAACTGTTTGGATTTTTTTTTACAGATTTACTGCAACTAGCTTTACATTAAGACTGCTGTCTGACCTCGCACGCATGCACAAAGTAGTCTGACTGAGTGGCTTTACAAAAGGACACTAATACTATAAAGCCCAAGTTAAATGTTTGACCGTGAAGATTACATTATCATGACCAGACATCAGATTAGGACCTTTCTAGCTAATAAGATTATGAAGAACAAAATGCTGTGAGCTCTATTATGTTACAGTACTGAAACACACATGCACATACACGCACACACACATTCTCGTGTTGATATCTTAGTGAGGACATCTAGTTGATGTCCTCATAATGTTTCTCTAGCTGCTTACCCTAACCATCAAAAATGTTTGCCTAACACTAGCCTCCATCCAACCATAACCTAATTGTAACTCTGACACTAAAACTACATTTTGAGTCTTAATAATGCCATCAAACTTGTGAGGACAGGCACTTTAGTGCTGACTAGTGGCTGTTGGTCCCCACACAGATGTCTAAACAGGTATATACACACACACACACACACTTCTAGATTCTGTAATATGATGCTCACTGTATACAGGAAGGCATGCAAAGGCATGCACACCGACTAGATTCATCCTGAGGCACTATGTTGGGAATTAAGTTTGCTTACTGGGCACCAGTGTATTTCTAAACTAAGTTCCAACATTTTGGTAACAAAACATCAAACTGCGTTTTGGGTGCCGGGTGCCAAAAATGCAGAGTGAAGAAGAAGGAGTAGTAGAACTACATTAATCACTTTAGAAACTGTGCTAGAACAATATCTACACAAACACACAAAAACCTCTGACAGAGGACAGCATGCACAGACATACAGAGATCCATCATTCCTAATGTCACAGATAGCAACTATCTCCCACGGTCTGGCTTTTACGTTTTCCTTAAATCCCTTTACCGTCCACAGGAACTCATTACTCACAAAGCCAGGAGGGGAGAGGCGGTATGAGGCTGTGAGCGTTAATGTGCCCATGAACAGATTATGAGAAAGATGAGAGCTCTGGATGCCAGTGGCCTGCTTCCAGGTCATCACTTCCAGTTTTCAGGAACATATGTGCTGTGTTTTGTCAACAAATGTTGTTTTGGTAGCTTGACCTAATATGCATAATGCCAGACTGTAAAAAACAACCCCCACAAAACAATGAAATACACCCGTACTGAGCAATCCTTTCTTTGATCCCTTAAAGCAGGTTAAGAGGGAGAAGGAGGAGCCATTAAAATAAATATCAAATATCATGAATAAAATGATTGAACTCAAAATCTATCACAGCAGGTAGCTCAATCAAAAGAAATTACTTATTACATTCATATTATTCCAAACACAGTGGATGCCCAGCCATACTCACGGCCGACACAAATTCATCATTTTCAGATAAGGCTTGCCCGCTAATCCCTTCATCCTCCACAGGGGGAAAAACATCCATAAGATATCTGTGTGGAGAATAAAATGGTCACTCTAATAACACAATAAGTATTTTCCATACACCTACATTTTCCGTACATCTACCCTTAAGTGTTTTTCACTCAGTTTCAGAATAAGATGAGGCAGCTGCAGGCTGTGGCGCTGAAAGCTAACCCTAGAAAAACCGCTGTACTCAGCACAAAGCTGCAGCTGTGGAAGGAGACTGATCTGATTCAGCCCCAAACAGAGCACAACAGCTGCAGCGTCCATCGGTTCAACTCTGCTCAACTAGCACACAGATCCTCAACACACACAGGACAGTATCACATTTAAACTGCTGCACAGATCTACATATTCATTTATCTTCTCCCTATATTTGCTTATCAACAGCAGGTCCCGGAGGGCTGAAACCCAGTACATGTCAGGGAAGACCAGCGCAGGGCATTGCTTGAAGTAGCAGCGGTAGTGAGTCAAATTTGAACCCAATTCCATTTAAACACAAGTCATCATAAAATGTTTAAACAAACATAATAAGTAAATTAGTAAAAAATAAATAAATAAATAATAACATCCATTTTGAAAAAGTTCAAATTGTAATTCTCACCATACTGAAATCAGGCAATTTTTTATTTTATTTTATTTTTTTTTTTACATATTTTCAGTTTGTGTTTAGTTTTTTGTTTAAATTTAGATTTTTTGTTTTTAAATTTTGAATTAATTTCTTTTTTTCTTGTTTCATTTTTACATTTAATGGTAGAAATTACACATTTCAGTTAAGCTTTCATTAGTTTTTGATATTTATTTTGTTTACTTTGTTACAGGATAACTTTAAGAAGTTTAGGATACACATTACAGTAAAAATTGTATAAAAAGAAATACAAAAAGAAACATTGTGCAGGCAGCTTACATATCACAATTTCAAATATTTGACCAAATGAACAAAGACTTAACATTTCCCGTGTGTTTTAGACCTAAGTTTAGACTGAAGAGCAGAGGCGATCGTGCCTTTGCCTCAGCTGCACCCAATCTCCCTGCTTCTATTCGTGCCTCGGACTCTGTCCAATCCTTTAAATCAAGATTGAAAGCATACTTATTTAACCTGGCTTTCCTGACCAGTTAATACCCTTTTTAAACTTTTTATCAAATGTATTATTTTATTATTAATTTTACTGCTGTTTTTATCTTCTTAGTAGATATTTTTGTATTCACGATCTGACCTTCCTCCTGTATTGAGGTTTGATACCCATTTTACTTAACTCTTAAGGTCTATTAGTGCCTCCATTCTGTCTGTGCTAGTGCCTGATCTGTACTTATGTTGTTTCTCCGTATTACTGTGAAGCACTTTGGCGTGCCTTCAGGTTTTTAAATGTGCTATATAAATAAAACTGTATTTTTTTGTTTATTTATTATTATTCACAATACGTTTCAAGTCCAATTTTTACCTTTATTGTACTTTCATCTGTTTTTTCAAAATTAGTTTTAGTTACCAGTAATAACTGCTTTAGCCACATTTTAATCACATTGAAAATACAGTAAAGACCAAACTATCAACACTGTATATTTCACACCAGTTTTTTCTTGCTTCTTTAAGCCAACTCCTAATTTTAAATAATCTATTCCAGCCTAAACATGACAGCAACACACACCCCTGACATGTAATGCCCTTGCAGACTGTTGAAACTATTCAGTTTACAACATCTCTACAAAAAAGGGTAAAACGGTGAATTACCGACCTGGTGAACTTATTTATCTAGCTCTGAGTTCAGTGATTCTACACATTTTCTTCTGATGTTGAAAACATTAAAAAAAGGCAACAGAGATGTTTCACAATGGTTTGATGTGGAAATTAAATGGCCAGCCTAAAAGCCAAAAAAAAAAAAAAAAGAGTCGGGCCTTCACAGTATTTCTGAAATAGTGTGTGTGTGTTTGTGTGCGGCTTTGCAGAATAGGTGGGAGGGTATAAATGTCATAGTTTGCCTCTCACCAACCTCATTCTGCAGCACTTCATCAGTGACCTCATGGCTCTGCATGCAATAACTCGGCCTCGTGTGTGGGCGAGAAGTGCCGTGTGTTGTGCGTGGGTACGTGGTGGCTGAGCAGGGCGCTACTGACATACATGGGTAAAAGAGCTAGTACTATCTGACAGATGAATGAGCACTTTGGGAGATCTCTGAAGTGGAGTTATGTTCGCACAATCCAACCAGACTTTTTTCCCCTCAGTAGACGTATGTCTTGCCACAGGTGTTACTAAGAACAATGGCCGTTGTAATATTGTGTTTCAGCAAGCCGGGATAGTGTGACAATGAACACGCAATGCCACTGAAACTAAAGTAAACTTAGTGGCATCCAGTAGTTACACCTGTCTTTGTTTACCCCTTATGCTCTGACGTGTCAAAGAGTCTGTTTGGGGGAAGGAAAAAAAAGCTTATAAATTTTCCACATTATTTAACACTAAAAATGATGGACCACCTTGATCACCTGATCAGGTGCTGCTAATCCATCAGTACGCAAACTGACACGAAGGGAAAAAGGATGCTGAAATGTCAGGAAACCCGGCCCGACACTGACTGAGGAGTGAAAGCCATGTCACAGGAAAACAGCTTTGTACATTCACCAAAGTGTTTTGGACATGACACGGCCAGTGTGACACTGAACAAGACAAGATAAATGCTCACAATGGCAATGATTTGAAATACAGAGACACCTACGAAAGCATAAATCATCATTTCATTTCCGTTTGACAGGTTCATACTGCTGGCTGAAATTAGTCCATTACCTACTATTACCTACTACTGTAAAATAAAGGGAACTGCACAGGTCTACCTCTTCATCATCGCTAGGCAGCCTTTGGTAATCCGACTCTGTTGTCTCCTGCAGTCTCTGGTATTCTGCCGTCTCCCCCATGGTGGAGTTCTGAGACCCAGCCGGTACCTGTTCGGGTGCTACGTGTCCTCAAATAGCTGCTGCTCCAGCCCAGTGAGCAACCCACACACTCAGTTGGTCAGTCAGCTTGCTTCGACATCCATGCAGGAAGACAAGTGCGATATTCTGGGCGTCGTTCACGGAGCGGCGTTGCATTATTCCGCAACGCCTGGCACAATACGTCTTATTACTCTGCTAACTCTGCTGTCACTCCTGCATCCAGTAATACCACCTTCATTGTCTTCATCGTTTAGGTTGAGTCAGCATTCGTTTAAAATGGCCGGACAATGAGTTCTTCATTTTCACACCTTTGTGACAGGAACTGACTAGTCTCTGAAAACAAAGCTGCTAATCCTCATGGAAACAGTTTTCAGAAGAACTCAATTCAGTTCGCGCAGGCAGGAGTAGTTCCGCTTTTGAGAAGATATACAGAATGCAATCCTCTTGAACGGTCTGTCCTTTTCATATGTCAGCAGCATTAAGAAGCTTCTGGGGTGTGAAAATGATCATTCAGAAGTCATTCAGCGAGGATTATTGTCCCTCAGACAATGAAATTCCAGCCTGGGTCCTTGGAGCTGCTGCAGTCAAGAGGTGGGAGTGATAGGAGGATGAAGCCAAGGTGTGGCACAGAAGGTGAAAAGTCTAACAGGCTCCGCTTGTATCCTCGCATCAGCTTCTAACCTCAATCTCTCTCTTGTGCTCAGTTGTGCTCATCTCTGCTGTCACTGCCTGCCTCTCTCTCTCTCTCTCTGACTCTTGTTCACCCTTCCTTAATGCTGACGCATGCTCCTCATATCCAGCGACGGCTCTCTCCGTTTCCATTTCCATGCCCCAGGCACTACCATGACCAGCTTACCTCCTCTTACTCATCGGCAGTGAAAAAAAAAAATCACAGCAAGCAGTGGCAGCGGTCGTCCGGGTGACGTCTTTTATTTTTCACCTGAATTAGCTCCTTCCTTCTTTGTGTGGTTTTTTTATTCATTCCAGCGGCTCGGCTCTAACGATGCTGACTGAAGTCTGGGAGCATTTTGGACTCTGCTTTGTCCTAAATGGACTTCCTGATTGCTCGGTCGATGCCTAATCCCTCGCCTGTTGTTATTGTTTTCCCCCCCTCCTCTCCTTTCGAGCCCTAACCCTCTAACCCGCTTTCCACAAGCTTCCACTTTTTTTTCCCCCACTCGATGATTTGGCGAGTGGTCGCCTCTTCTATTACCGTGGCAACATCAACCCATCCCACCTCCTCCCCGCTCCCGTGTCCTGTAGCCATGGTGATCCACTCAGCTGTGGTCCTGATAAAAGCAGCCAATGAGAATAAGTCAAGCCAACAGGAAAGGGAGGGGGAGGAGAGTGTCAGGCAAGAGGTGGAGAGGCGGAGGGAGCCCTAATGAGGAGAGTTAATCTTCCCTCTGAGAGGGAGAAAAACATGGCCATGCTGCTTTGTCTGTGTTTGTGTGTGTAAAGCTCTCCAGTATAGAGGACATCCAAGCCATCTGGACCTTGCTGTGTGGACATCTGGGTGAAGAGGAAAATAGAATAAAAGAACAACGCATGTGCGTCTGCGTACGCACACACGACACTTCCCCATCGCTCCAACTGATGCCATTGAGGAAAAAAAAAAAATCTTTAAAGCACTCTGGGACAGCACAGAGTATTTGTTTACGCATGCATGATCTCCTCCTCCCCTCAGTCCATGTCACTCTTTATTCCTTCCACTTTCATATCCTTAACACTCGCCCCTCTTTTGTTTTGCCTCCTCTCGCTCTCTTCTCCATCTCCACTCCAGTCCTGCTGATGTCCTTAGGCCAGTTATTTACGGCCCACTGCACAACATTCATTTTTTGCTCTCATTCCTCCACCTCTTCCTCTTTTCTGTGATCTGGTCCTCCGGAAGCAGACTTCTGCAAATTTGAGAGGCACGCAACACAACACAGCAGTGGAACAAAAGTAGCAAGACTGCGTAATTAAAGTTAAAAAATTATTATTTTGGTCAATATTGACGTCACCATGACGTCACCA